TTATGACATGACAGAGTTGTATTAATAGTAGACTGTGGGACTACAAAGCTGAAATTATTCACTCTCTGGCACGAAGTTTAGTGCCCCCTGTTTTAGAGAAGTGCAGGATATTGAATCTGCAGAACCTGGTGATAGACACGGTCTGAAGAGACTAATTATACTTGTCCCTCACTGTCCGAGGGACACCAGAACCCATAGATGCTCAAATCCCTTATATAAAATAACAGTGATTGCATATAGGGGCCTCCGAGGTGGCTCAGTGGAAAAGAATCCACTTGCTAATGCAGGAGACACAAGAGATGCAGGTTTGATACCTGGGTCAGGAAGATCCCCTGGAGGAGAGCATAGCTACCCACTCTAGTATTCTTGCCTGGAGAATCCCATGGACAGAGGAACCAGATGGACTACAGTCCATGAGATCGCAAAGAGTTGGACAGGATTGAGCAAGTAACGCGTACACACACACACACACAGAGATGTGGGGCTTATGCGGCTAAAACAGAGAAATCCCAGGGAAACTGAGACAGTTGGTCACTGTAGGTGTTGGCAAGTTATCTAGAGGGAGAGTCAAGAGGAAGCTGGAAGTGCTTTCTGAATTTGTGTGAAGCTCAACAGCTCTCTGTTCCTGACAGCAGCCCCTGGCTGACAGCCAGCAAAAGAGGGGGCCTCAGCCCTACAAGCACAAGGAACCAGATTCTGGCCACAGCAGGGAGCTCAGGAGTGGATCCTCCCTGGTTGAGCCTCTGGATGAGAATGCTACCCAGCTCACACTTTTTTCCTGCGTTGCACAACTTGTTGGATCTTAGGTCCTCTAGCAGGAATTGAACCGGTGCCACGGCCGTGAAAGCTCCTAATCACTGGACCTTCGGGAACTCCTCCAGCTGATGCTTTGTTTGCAGCTGAGTGACCCTGAGCAGAGGACCCCTAAAACGTGCCCGATTCCTGACCTGCAGAAACCATGAGATCACGAACAGGCATCGTTTTACACAGCTATGTGTGTGAGAACTTGTTACGTGCTAGCAGCTGGCTAGCACACCTCCTCTAAGAGGGCCCTTGCTTGCTCCCTCCTGCAACAGGGCTTTTACATATTTTGTTCTTACTGTGTGGACGTCTGTTGCTTCCACCGGGCACAGGCTGGATTCCTGTTTATCCTTCAGAACTTATGTAACTCATCCCTCCACCAGGAAGCCTCCCCAGACCCCTGTCTAGATCAAAGCTTCCTTTTGACAGAGACCCAAAGCCCCATGGACGCATCTCTCTTTTCCAGCCATTATTATAGCCACAATTTTAATTTACTTGGGTCTCTGTCACTAAGATTTATACTCTGTGAGCTGAGAATCACATCTGTCTCATTAAGGGCTGGGTACCCAGCACAGAGCAGCCAGGCCTGGCCCGTCGTAAATATCAGATTGATGGAGACAGTGAATGGAGCTTCTATGTTCAATGCTAAATAGCAGCGAGGCCCCTCTGTGCCCTAATGATGGTGATGACAAGACAATTTGGAGAACACAGGAATCCTTAGAAAACCCAAGGGATAGGGGGTGGCAGGGCTGGCAGGGGTTGAATGAACGTAGTGTATGTGTTTGTAGGGGGTGCTGTCAATGAGCTCATACACTACATTCATGTTTCTAGCCCTAATCACAAAAGTGAATCTTAGTGTCTTTGTCCTTAAAACATTTCATCAAGTGATTCTTAGAGCTGCTCTGGCTCCTCAGAAGGCAGTTCAGCTCAAGTGTAAGAATAAAGGGGTGAGCATTGTACGACCTTGCTCTCCATCCCTGCGCTACTCCCCTTTCTTACCGACTGTGGATGGTGGTGGTGAGGCGCAGAGTGGCTGTTCCCAGTAGGATGTGTTACCTTGATCGGATAGGACATTCTGGCTGGGCCCTGGGGTGGGGTTCCAGATTTAACAATAAACATACAGCACAGCCAGATAAATTCAAATTTCAGACAAACAACAAATACTTTTTGGAGAGACTTCCCTGGCAGTCTAGTGGCTAAGACTCTCTGCTCCCAATTCAGGGGGCCTGGGTTCAACCCCTGGTCAGGGAACTAGATCCTGCATGCTGCAACTGAGATCCAACATAGCCAAATAAATGACTTGAATAAAAAATTTTAAAATGCTTTTTCTTAATATAAGTATGTTCCAGATTTTGAACAAGGCATGTTAGGAACTGTATGTGTCAGGTTCTCTAGAGAAAGAGAACCAGTAGAATGGAGAGGAAGACAGACAGACCAGAATTAGCTCACAATCATGGGAGCTGGCAAATGCAAAATCTGCATGGCAGGCTGGAGACCCTGGGAAAAGTTGATGTTGCAGCTCAAGTACAAAGGCCACCTGGAGGCAGTATTCTCCCTTCTTTGGGGGGAGACCTTGATCTTTTCTCTTAAGGCCTTCAACTGATTGGATACAGCCCACCCACACTACAGAAGCTCATCTGCTTTACTCAGCATCAACTAATTAAATGTTAATTATGTCTTCACAGCAATGTCAAGAACCATGTTTGGCCAAAGCCCAGCATCATGGCCTAGCCCTATGGACACATAAAATTAACTATCACAGGATGTTTTGTCATGTTTTTTGTTTGCTTGTTTGTTTTGGCTGAGCTGTGTGGCATGTGGGATCTTAGTTCGCTAACCAAGGATCAAACCTGTGTCCCTGTACTGGACGCTTTGAGTCTTAACCACTGGACCACCAGGGAAGTCTATAAGTCTTATGCATCTGAAATTTAAGTTTGACTGGGCGTACTGTATTTATGGGCTTCCCAGGTGGTGCTAGCGGTAAAGAACCCACCTGCCAATGCAGGAGACATAAGAGATGTGGGTTCGATCCCTGTGTCGGGAAGATCCACTGGAAGAGGGCATGGCAATCCACTCCAGTATTCTTGCCTTGAGAATCTGATGGACAGAGGAATCTGGTGGGCTACAGTGCATGGGGTTGCAAAGAGTTGGACACAACTGAAGCAACTTTGCATGCACACACCATATTTTATCTGATGTGCAGACCTGCTGTCCATCCATACGGGCCTACAAAGCAGCTCCATTCCCCCCAGAGAAGCACCTGGCTGAGTGCGCACCTTTGTGGAGCCCCGTCAAGGGAAGTAGAATGGGATTGTCTCCCCACTTCTTTCTGGGTGCTGTTCAAAAGGGAAAGAGTGTGTCAGAGGCCAGATATGAGTCATTCTCTGCCCACACAATGTAGGCAGCATCCACGGGGAGCAGGGGCGGGGGGAGGTAATGAGATCCACCACTGCAGAGCCATAAAGGTGACTCATCCGCTCCTAGACAAAGGCTTCTCTGCAGGCTGGGGGTTTGGAGTAGGGGTCTGCTCAGGTCTCATGAACGGAAGGGAGTTATCCAGCCAGGTCGAGGGCAGGGGTATGCTGTGGGTGGGAAGGGCTGAACACATTCAAGGCTCTCGTAGTTGCAAGGAGCAGAAGCCAAGTGCCTTAAGTGAATTTGTTGGCACTTGACACAGAGACGCTTCAGAGGCAGAAGTGCCGGAGTTCAGCCTGTCTCCACCTCTCAGCTCTGCGAACTGAGAGTCTGAGATCCTGGATCCTGCGAGGCAGGAATTAGCCAGATGGCAGCAGGCATTGTCTTCTGCCCATTTCACAGAGGAGGAAGCTGGAGGCCAGAGCTGTTAGATCTCACAGCTTATTCTTACCCTTGTTGTTTTAGTCGGTCAGTCATGTCTGACTCTTTGCAACCCCATGGACTGTGGCCCACCAGGCTCCTCTGTCCATGGGATTTCCCAGGCAAGAATACTAGAGTGGGTTGCCATGCTGTCCTCCAGGGCATCTTTCCAACCCAGGGATCGAACCCTTGTCTCTCGCATTAGCAGGTGGATTCTTTACCACTGAGACACCATCCTCCCTAATAAGAGATTTAAAAAAATATGTATCATTAACTGTTATGATGGAGAATCAGCCTAATGCTAAAATTTTGCATACTCATAAAAATGCCATTGTTGTAAAGCAACTATACGCCAGTGAAAATTATTACAATTTAAAAAAAAACACCTTGCTTTACAATATTGCAGTGGGTAAAAAGAAAAAAAAAAAAAACCACGGGGCTTCCCTAGTGGTCCAGTGGTTGGGACTTTGCCTTCCAAATGCAGGGGGTACAGTTTCCATCCCTGGTTGGGAAGCCGGGATTCCACATGCCTAGAGGCCAAAGAAACCAAAGCATAAAACAGAAGCAATGTTGTAACAAACTCAGTAAAGACTTAAAAAAATTTTTTTTAATGGACTTCTCTGCTGGCGAAGTGGATGAGACTCCACCTGTCAATGCAAGGGACAGGTTTGCTTCCTGGTCTGGGCAGATCTCCTCTGCCGCAGAGCAACTAAGCCAGCGTCCCACAACTGCTGAGCCTGTGCTCTGGAGCCGGGGAGCCACGACTACTGAAGCCTGCATATTGTAGGACCCAGGCTCCACAACAGGAGAAGCCGCTGCAATGAGCAGCCGGAGCACCACAGTGAAGAGGAGCCCCGCTCTCTGCAACTGGAGAAAGCCCTAGTGCAGCAGTGAAGATCCAGTACAACTGAAAATAAAATTTAAAAAAACTTAAAAAAAAAAAAGAATGAAGCCATTGGGAATTCCCTGACAGTTCAGGAGTTAGGATTCTGTTCACACTTTCGTTGCCATGGCCGTGGGTTCAATCCCTGGTTGGGGAACTAAGGTCCCACAAGCTGTGTGGTGCAGCCAAAAAACAAACAAACAAAAAAAGCTATTGGTTGACTTTCAAATAGCATTTAATGGATGAAGGAGCATTGTATTCACTGCCTATGCCACACCACAACATCACCACATGCTTAGTGGCTTAAATCAACTCACATCTGTTAACAAGTCCAGGCTCGCCTCAGGCGCTAGTGATGGCAGCTACGTTTGCACAAGGAAGACCCTTGCTTAGGGGAAGAGAAGTGCCCCCCTAGCACTGACCTCACTTCTCTGCCTCCCTTCTGCTGGCCTCCAGGTCTCCGTCCCTGTGTCCGGGAGCCATGGAGCCCCCTGCTGGTGACTTACAGCTGGTGCCTGGAGCCACCAAGGACGTCCTGGCTGCAGATGCCGGGTGCTGCCGGGCAGCCCTCTCCACCGTCGTGGCCACCAGCATCGTCCTCGTCACCCTGGGAGTCCTTGTGGGTGAGTGGCCATGGGCTTGCTCGGGTCCACACACCAGGAGACTGGCAGAAAGACGCCTGGGAGTCGCTCAGGTGTGTCCCAGGGCAAATGGTCACACGTACAGGCCACAGAGGCCACCGAGAGCGTGGCAGGGGGGCCCGGCGCTCGATGTGGCTGCACTTAGCGCCAGGCTGGGCGCTGGGAGCCTGGGCATCACGGTAATACCTGCCAATTTCAGGTCTCCCACCTGCAGGGTTCTTAATGAAGATTCATGGCCGGAGTGAAATGGAGACCACTAGGGAAATGAACTTATTTTGAGAAATTTGGAAAGTCCCCGAAAACATAAGAAATCAGTGACCAGTCGTTAACTTTCCTGCCTCCCACAATCAACAGTGGTTCCCACATTATTATTATTACTTTTTGCCATGCCACATGGTATGCTGGATCTGAGTTCTCCAACCAGGAACTGAATCCATGCTCCTGCCGTGGAAGCACTGAGTCTTAACCACTGGACCCCCAGGGAAGTCCCTCTCACTTCATACAAAATAAGGCTTCCCAGGTGGCGCTAGTGGTAAAGAACCCACCTGCCAATCCTGGAGGCATAAAAGACATGGATTTGATCCCTGGGTCGGAAAGATCCCCTGAAGGAGGGGATGGCAACCCACTCCAGTATTCTTGCCTGGACAATTCCATGGACAGAAGAACCTGGTGGACTACAGTCCATGGGGTCAAAAAGAGTTGGACACAACTGACCGCACACCCACACATACAAAATGATGACCTGTTGTGAGTGCTGTGGGCTGCAGTTACAGAAACACACGGAGGTCTTTTTATGTCAGTGGAAGGCTCCAGTGGACGCCTGCTGACTGCACAGAGTTCCAGGGCTGCCCCGTACCTCCACGTGCTAGCCCTGAGCCCCAGTGCTATTTAGACTTAATTTAAATGACAGGTAAAATCCAGTTCCTCCGTCCCTGCCAGCCACATTTCACGGGTGGCTCGTGTGGTTCCTGCAGGGGATGCTCAGATCTAGGATCTTCTGCCGTCACGGGAAGTTCTGCTCTGATCCGAGCTCCTTCTGAGATGAGTTTCTTAGTTCTGTGTGGGGGCATGAAAGTCACCCTTCATTCATGAAATGATGATGGTAATTGGCACTTTGGGGGGGGGAAATGATGTCTTGTGGCAAAATAATAAGTTGGCAACCCAATGTGGGATGTATATATTTTAATATTTAAAACATGTATATTTTTAATATATATTTAAAATGTATAGATGTATGTTTGTGAATATCTGAAATAGCTGGAAGTCTGGCATGGCTGATAGATGCCCTCTGATGGCTGTGAGGTGAAGTGCAGGAAAACTGGTTTTTGTGTGTGTGCGTGTGTGTGCGTGTGTGTGCGTGCACGCGTGTGCACGCCCGCCCCCTCACCCTCCCCAAGCAGGAGTCGGTTTCACAACTCCATTCTAGAAGCACAGATACATTCTGGGACAACAGGTAGAACAAATCTCCAGCAGAACCTCTGAAGCCAAGGAAGGCTTTAAGAAGCACTTAAAACTTAAAAACAATTTTAAAATTACAGTTCAAATTTGTCCTCTTCCCAGACAGAATTTTACTCGGCGGTGTACAGTTTTACATGGGCCCTTGGCTGGACTGTTTCTCCAAGTGCATGGGAGCCCGTGGGTATTTCAGAGGAAAAGTGTGAGGCTTATTGGGGGCCCCTAGCATAAGCACTTGTGTCCACATATCAGGGTTCTTGTTATCTTTCTTTTTAGTTCCTTGCAGAAGAAAACAACCATTTTTAGAATTGTTTTAGTCTGTTTTATCTATTTAATAAATAAATATCTGAATATCTATCTGGATGAATATTCATTCCAGTAAATAGAGCTGGGACCTGACTTCCATAGTGTAGATGACAGCAACTTCTATTTTTAAATTAAAAAAAATTTCTTTTACTTTGGCCATGCCAGATGGCTTGTGGGGTCTTAGTTCCCCGACCAGGAATTGAACCCAGGGCCATGGTAGTGCAAGTGCTGAGTCCTAACCACTGGGCAAAACCACATGGCATGTGGGATCTTATTTCCCCAAACAGGGATTGAACCCAAGCCCCCAGAACTGGCAGCTCAGAGTTTTGAAAGGTTGCTGGTACGAGCCATGAATGATGCTGGGATTCTTGGCCTCCGGAGGAGAGGAATTCTATCTGGGGCCAGTGATGAGGCTTGATCACTCAGAGCTTTTTGTGTAATAAAGTTTTATTAAAGTATAAAAGAGATAGAAATCTTCTGACATAGATATCAGAAGGGGGCAGAAAGAGTGTCCCCTTGCCAGTTTGTAGTAAGGAGTAACATACCTATTAGCAGGCTGCTAATTAGAGAAAGAAAATGCCTCAAAACTGAGAGAGTTGCACCAGGCCCCTCAATCACAACATGCATTTTGAGATAGCATTGTCACAAGGTGAGTTATCCTAGGCCATAAAACAATTGATATGAATCTTGAAGAAAGGCAGATTTCCAAGTAAATCCATAGTTTCATTAACATAGCTTTAGAGAATATTGCCATGAGTAAAACATACTGGTTTGTTGAGCCATTATTGGTTCTGAGTCTTAGGTCAAACCGACTTGAAGGAAGGCAGATTCTAAGATAAATAGACAGATCATTAACATAGCTTAAGAAAAACATTTCCATAAGAAAAACTGCATTGGTTAGCTCAAGGTTTGAGACAAGTTCAGTTCAGGTGGAACCAGGTGTCCTTATGACAACACAGAATTTTACAAGAAACCTCCTTTTAATTTTGCATACAGAAGGAAGAACAAACTCTGACACTAGTTTGTTTCCTCCTCCTATTCAGAGAGAAAAAGAAACATCTGACACTTACAGTCTATTTCCTCCGCCTGGGGACCTCTAGCCTTCCTGCCTCTTACCCTCAGTTTTAACTATTGGGAAGTCCCTCTATGTTTAAAATTTTGCAATTATGATCATTTTTGACCAGTGGGCCCCTTTGCCAGTTTTGCATATTTTTTGACAGAAATAGGTGTCTTCATGTACTCTGTAGGGTTGTATTCTTTACTTTAAGACATCTTATGTTCTTTGCTATTATGTGGTTTCCACAGTGTTTCCAATAGTTGGAAACTGTGTTATTCAGAGGGTGGCATCACGGGTGGGGGTCTGAGGGTCCTGGTACCCCTGACTGTGGCCATGCCTCTGTTGTACTTCCTGCCCTCTTCCAGGGAAAGTGAAAGTGTTAGTCACTCAATTGTGTCCGATTCTTTACGACCCCAGGGACTGTAGCCCACCAGGCTCCTCTGTCCATGGGATTCTCTAGACAAGAATACTAGAGTGGGTAGCCATTCCCTTCTCCAGGGGATCCTCCCGACCGAGGGATCGAACCCTGGTCTCCTGCTTTGCAGGTGGATTCTTTATCATCTGAGCTGCCAGGGAGGAGGTGGGAATTGCCTGAAAGTTGAGGTAAGGTCTTTTGAGGCCATTTCAGCCATTTTTGGCTGAAGTTGACCCAGGGCCCTAGTCCAGGCATTTCTAGGGGCAGCCAGCCTTCCCCTTAAGAGAACCTAGGGGCAACTGGGGCTTTTGTGCTGGACCTGGGGGCCTTGAGGTGAGTGATGGGTGAGAGTGGATTAGGGGGCACGTAGTGACTTCCCTGCTGGTCCAGTGGTTAGGACTTGCCAGGGATACAGGCTTGATCCCTGGTAGGGGAGCTATGATCCCACATGCCTGGTGGTCAGAAACCAAAAACATAAAGCAGAAGCAATGTTGGAACAAATTCAGTAAAGACTTTTAAAAAAACAGTCCTCTTAAAAAAAAAAAAAGAGCACTGTTAATAGTCACTCAACCCCCAGGGAGTCAGCCCACAACCAATAGTTGGGATGACCAGCCCTGGGCTGGCAGGGGGCCTTGGAGGCCAGCTTCGCTGAGCCCTGCCCCTGCAGTGGGCGCTCTCACGGGGCCCTGGTCTCGTCCGCAGCCTCCCTCTCTACACAGGGCGTCGACGTAGAGCACACAGCCGAGCTGCGTGGGATCCGGTTTGCCCCCAGCTTGCAGCAGGAGACCTCAGAGTACTACCGCACGCTGACGCCCACTCTGGAAATGCTGGTGAGGCTCCTGGGAGCCAGGGGTGGGGGTGGCAAGTGGGTGGCCAGGGGCTCTGACTGAGGCAGCAGGGCAGAGGGGAGGCTGAGGAAGGGAGAGGGGCCGTGGGATGAACAGGATGCAGCTGGTGCTTTTTGGAAAGCAGGGGATGGCAGCATCGTGTGGGAACCTCCACCTACAAGACCTATAGGTCTCATTGGAAGGTTGTAAACTGCATTTCAGTAGAGAAATCAGAACTTTCCTGTGTGGCTGGTGGGAATCTGAAAAGGGGCAGCCTCTGTGGAAAGCAGTGTGGCAATTTGACCCTGATGCTGGGAAAGATTGAGGGCAGGAGGAGAGGGGGGCGGCAGAGGATGAGATGGTTGCATGGCATCTCCAACTTAATGGACTTGAGTTTGAGGAAACTCCAGAAATTGGTGATGGACAGGGAAGCTTGGTGTGCTATAGTCCATGGGGTCACAAAGAGTTGGACACGACTAAGAGACCGAATGATTAATAGCAGTACCATCTGACCCAGCCATTCTGTACCATGTCTGCCCCAGAGAAACAAAAACGTGTGTCCACACAGAAACCTGCACATGATGCTCACAGCACCATGAGTCATGATAACCCCGAAGTGAAAGCAACCGGACTGTCCATCAGCAGATAATGGATAAACAGTTGTGATCCCTCCACACTCGGGAGCGTCAACTCAGCCCTGACACTCGCTACCACATGGACAGGCCCTGAGAACACGATGCTCAGTGAGAGACACAGACACAGAAGGACAGACAGGGTGTGATTCCACTGATGGGAAACGTGCAGAACAGGCCAATCCACAGACACAGAGTGTGGGTTCCTGGTTGTCAGGGGCTGGGGGAGGGGACTGGGGGTAACTGGTAATGGGATGGGCTTCTTTTGGGGTGATGAGAATGTTTTAAAATCATGATGAGCTGGTACAAATCTGTGAATGTACTAAAACCCCATCTAACTGTATACTTTTAAAAGGTGAGTTTTTATGGTAGGTGACTTATACCTCTTTTTTTTTTTTTTGGATGCATTGTGTGACATGTTGAACTTCCCTGACTGGGAATTGAACCCGTACTCCCTGCAGTGGAAGCACAGAGACTTAACCACTAGACCATCAGAGAAGTCCCACTTATACCTCATTTGTTTTTGTTTTTTTTTTGGCCATGCCATGTGGCATGTGGGATCTTAGTTCCCCTGAAAGTGAAACTGTTAGTTGCTCAGTCATGTCCGACTCTTTGCAACCCCATGGACTGTAGCCCACCAGGCTCCTCTGTCCATGGGATTCTCCAGGCAAGAATCCTGGTGTGGGTTGCCATTTCCTCCTTCAGGGGATCTTACCCCCCCAAGGATCAAACCCAGGGCTTCCATATTGCAGGCAGATTCCCTCTACCAGGGATAGAACTAATGCCTGCTGCAGTGGAAGCTCAGAGTCTTAAACACTGGACCACTAGGGAAGTCCAAATTCATCCATTTTTAAAATGACATTTAGTACAGAGTTGTGCAACTATTACCTCTAATTCCAGGAGCTTTCATCACCCCAAAAAGAAACCCTCTCTCCTCATCAGCAGTCACTCCCATCCCCTCCCCAGCCCTTGACAACCAGGAACCCACTCTCTGTGTCTGGGATCTGCCTGTTCTGGACGTTTCCCATCAGTGGAATCATAGCCTGTGTGTCCTTCTGTGTCTGCTTCTCTCACTGAGCATCATGTCCTCAGGGTCCGTCCACGTGGTTGTGAGTGTCAGGGCCACACCTCTGTTCATGGCTGAGTGATGCTCCAGTGTGTGGAGGGACCACGTGTTTCTCCATCATGTGTTGGTGGAGCTGTGTTTCCACAGGCACGGCCGGGGACTGCCCACCCCGTCACTCACTCAGCAGTGTGAGCTGACCGCCCACGTGGAGGTGAAGAGGAGGTGCTTTTCTCCTCCTCCCCGACTCTCCCAGCCAGGGGTCTCCACGGGGCTCACATTTGCGGCTGTTGTTTCTGTTGCAGTTTGTCAGCAGCTTTCAAGAGACAGAGTTGGAGTCCAGCTGCGTGGGCTGCACAGTGCTGAGTTACTGGTGAGTGAGGGCCTCCTGGGGGTAAAGGATCTTGGGGGACAGCTGGATTTGTAGAGAATTCCAGCTGAGAAGTGCCCGCCCTCTCAAGGCCAATGTCCTCCCCACCAGGGAGGGCAATGCCAGCGTCCTGGTGCATTTCCGGCTGCACTTTCTGCTGCTGGCCCTGTGGACGCCGAGCCCAGGCCTGGAGGAGCAGCTATTGCAGCAGGGACTTCATGCAAGGCTGCAGGGCCTCGGCATCCCCCTGGCCCCCTATGGCACCATTGTGTCTGCCCAGCTCACAGGTGAGTGACCTCAGGGTTGTGGCATCCCCCAGCCCCCTGTGGCGCCATTGTGCCTGCCCAGCTCACAGGGGAGTGACCCCAGAGACGAGGAGACTTTGGGAGGAACATGCTGGGGGAGGGGAGCCAGGTGAAAGTTGCATTAAACTTGACACTTTCCATAATCGGCCCTTTCAGTGACAAGGAAACATATATACATTGCTTTACCTTCAATGGTAGACACCACAGGGTGGCAACTTGTAGTTATTTTCATCTTTGCCACCCATTGGGTCTCTGTCAAGATGACTCAACCTGGCTATCATAGCACAAATGCAGCAAAGACAATATATAAACAAATGGACACTTACCTGTGTATCAATAAAACTTTATTTATAAAAACAAGTGGTGGGCCAGATTTGGCCCCTGGCCCCCTGGTATAAAACTAAGCGTAGATGTTATGCTCTGAAATTCTAAGATTACTGTGTGTTGGGATTTGAGAGCCAGATGTGATTTCAGAGTGTGCAGATTAAAAGATTGTTGCCTTGACCTAGCATTGGAGGACATTTACAGTCCCCTTCTACCACCCCTGACATACTTGGTATCTTAGTAACCTCACCAGTGCTAAAAGAGAGATTTCTGCACAGATGTAATTGTTTCAGGTCTACACCATCCACTCTGGCAGCCACCCACTCCATGTGGCTGTTGTGCTCTTATTATGAGGAACAGAATATTTTATCTGATTTTACCTCAGTTGAGTTAATTTAGAATTTAAGTGGCTCCCAGGTGGACAGTGCAGTTCCCTGCTTTGCGGTATGATGTTGTCAGGGAAATTCGCCACTCACTAAATAATCTTTTATCTCTTTGTTTTGTTGCAGGAAGCCAGAAGGGGCTGCTGACAGAAAGAGACTTAAAATCAGGTATGTTTTGATGAATGGATAAAGAAAATGTGGTGTTTACACCACACATGTACACATATACACAATGGAATGCTACTCAGCTGTAAAAAAGAATGAAATAATGCCATTTGCAGCAACCTGGATGGACCTAGAGATTCTCATACTAGAAGTAAGTCAGGCAGAGAAAGACAAATACCATATGATATCACTTATATGTGGAATTTAAAATATGTTACAACAAACTTATATACAAAACAGACTCACAATAGTAAGAACAGATTTGGGATTGCCAAGGTGGAGGAGGGTCAGGGAGGGAAGGATTATGGGTTTGGGATTAGCAGATGCAAACTATTATATATAGGATGGATAAACAATGAAGTCCTACTGTATAGCACAGAGAACTATTAATGTATTCAATGTCCTGAGACAAAACATAATGGAAAAGAATATGAAAAAGAACACATACATGTGTAACTGAATCACTTTGCTACACAGCAGAATTGAACACATCATAAATCAACTATTGTTGTTCAGTGGCTCAGTTGTGTCTGACTCTTTGCGACACCATGGACAGCAGCACGCCAGGCTTCCCTGTCCACTGTCTCCAGGAGTTTGCTCAAATTCATGTCCATTGAGCCATCCAACCATTTCATCCTCTGTCATCCCCTTTTCTTCCTGCCTTCAATCTTTCCCAACATTATGATCTTTTTCAGTGAGTCAACTCTCTGCATCAGGTGGCCAAAGTATTGGAGCTTCAGCTTCAGCATCAATCCTTCCAATGAGTAGTCAGGGTTGATTTCCTGTAGGATTGATGGGTTGGATCTTCTAAATGTCCAAGTGATTCTCAAGAGTCCTCCAGCACCACAGTTCTAAGGCATCAGTTCTTCGTCACTCAGCCTTTTGTATTTTCCAGTTCTCACATCTATACATGACTACTGGAAAAATCATAGCTTTGACTAAATGGACCTTTGTAGGAAAAGTAATGTCTCTGCTTTTTAATGTGCTGTCTCGGTTTGTCATTGCTTTTCTTCCAAGGTGCAAGCGTCTTTTAATTTCATGGCTGCAGTCACCATCTACAGTGATTTTGGAGCCTAAGAAAATAGAATCTGTCACTGCTTCTATTGTTTCCCCATCTATGTGCCATGAAGTGATGGAACTGGATGCCATGATTTTCGTTTTTTGAATGTTGAGTTTTAAGCCAGCTTTTTCACTCTCCTCTTTCACCTTTGTCAAGAAGCTATTTAATTCCTCTTCACTTTCTGCCATTAGGGTGGTGTCATCTGCATATCTGAGGTTCTTGATATTTCTCCCAACAATCTTGATTCCAGCTTGTGATTCATCTAGCCTGGCATTTTGCAAGATGTACTCTACATGTAAGTTAAATAAGCAGAGTGGCAATATACAGCCTTGACATTCTCCTTGCCCAGTTTTGAACCAGTCTGTTGTTCCATGTCCAGTTCTGTTGCTTCTTGACCTGCATACAGGTTTCTCAGAAGGCAGGTAAGGTGTTCTGGTATTCCCATCTCTTTAAGAATTTTTCACAGTTTTTTTGTGTGATCTACACAGCCACAGGCTTTAGCATAGTCAATGAAGCAGAAGTAGATGTTTTTCTGGAATTCTCTAGCTTTTTCTATGACCCAGTAGATATTGGCAATTTGATCTCTGGGTCCTCTGCTTTTTCTAAATCCAGTTTGAACATCTGGAAATTCACAGTTCACATACTATTGAAGCCTATCTTGGAGGATTTTGAATATTACTTTGCTAGCATGTGAAATGAGTGCAATTGTGTGGTAGTTTGAATGTTCTTCTTTGGGATTGGGATGAAAACTGCCCTTTTCCAGTCCTTTGGCCACTGCTGAGTTTTCCAAATTTGCGGGCGTATTGAGTGCAGCACTTTTAACAGCATCATCTTTTAGGATTTGAAATAGCTCAGCTGGAATTCCATCACCTCCACTAGCTTTGATCGTAGGGATGCTTCCTAAGGCCCCCTTGACTTCACACTCTGGGATGCTCTAGGTAAGTCACCACACAATTGTGGTTATCCAAGTCATTAAGATCTTTTGTGTATAGTTTTTCTGTGTTCTTGCCACCTCTTCTTAACATCTTCTGCTTCTGTTAGGTCCATACTGTCTCTGTCCTTTATTTTGCCTATCTTTGCATGAAATGTTCCCTTGGTATCTCTAATTTTCCTGAAGAGATCTCTAGTCTTTCCCATTCTATTATTTTCCTGTTTCTTTGCATTGTTCAATCATAAAAGCTTTCTTATCGCTCCTTACTATTCTCTGGAACTCTGCATTTAAATGGGTATATCTTTCCTTTTGTCCTTTGCTTTTCACTTCTCTTCTTTTCTCAGCTATTTGTAAGGCCTCCTCAGACAGCCATTTTGCCTTTTTGGATTTCTTTTTCTTGGAGATGGTTTTGATCGCCACCTCCTGTGCAATGTTATGAACCTCCATCCATAGTTCTTCAGGCACTAATCCCTTGAATCTATTTGTCACTTCTACTGTATAATCATAAGGGATTTGATATAGGTCATACCTGAATGGCCCAGGGGTTTTCCCTACATTCTTCAATTAAAGTCTGAATTTTGCAATAAGGAGTTCATTATCTCAGCCACAGTCAGCTCCTGGTCTCTCTCTCTCTCTCTCTTTTTTTTTTTTTGCTGACTGTATAGAGCTTCTCCATCTTTGGCTGCAAAGAATATAATCAATCTGATTTCAGTATTGACCATCTGGTGATGTCCATGTGTGGAATCATCTGTTGTGTTGTTGGAAGAGATGTTTGCTATGATCAGTGCATTCTCTTGGCAAAACTCTGTTGCCTTTGTCCTGCTTATAAATCAACTATACTTCAATTTTAAAAAATCAAGTATGTTTTTTTCAGCTCCTTGCCCTCTGCCCAATTTTCTGCCATTTGCAAACACCAAGAGAGGTTTCCCGAAGCTTCTTGAAGGCACACAAGGGAAATCCCTCAAACACAGTAAATGCTAGTTTTGTGCGCCAGCCTTTTGTGGGGGAGATGGAGTCCTAGTCCTGTGTGAGCAAAGGATTTAAAAAATGAGGCACTTTTAATTGTTCAGAGCTAAGCATATTTAGAAGAAGGCTTTATTTTTTTTTAAGTGATGTAATGTTGTTAAAAGAAAAGACAGAAAGCAAACAATTTTTGGGGGGGGAAAGAATATGGACCACCTAGAATTTCATTGCTTTAAATATTTTGATGACTCTCCGCCCAGCTGGCTCACAACATGTGTTATCACACAATGTCCACCTCTTTGTGACCTCATGGACTATACCCCATCAATCTCCTTTGTCCACGGGATTTTGCAGGCAAGAATACCCGAGTGGGTTGCCATTTCCTTCTCCAGGGGATCTTCCTGTCCCAGGGATCGAACCCGTGTCTTTTGCATCTCCTGCATTGGCAGGTGGATTCTTTTACACTTACCTAGCTTTACATCAATGGTTCCCAATTAGGGGTGATCCTGCCCCCAAGGGACACTTGATGATGTCTGGGAACATTTGTAGTCGTGACGACTGGGGGGCTCCTGGCATCCAGAGGTGGTGGGCTGGCGATGCTGCTCTCCACCCCACGGTGCCCAGGATGGCCTCCAACCCTGCAGACAATGACTGACCCTAAATGTGAACCTACACTTCAGTGACAAATTTTATGTTATATGTACTCTACTACAATTTTAAAAATTAACTTCACCTATCTCTTTTTAAAAAAAATGGATGGTAGAAATGTAAAAATACACACATGGGACACGTATTGCTTGGGTTTCACAGCCCTGGCCCAAGCACTGTCTGGCATTCTTGTGTGTTAGGTGTCTGTACTAACTCGAGTTAGTACAGAGAAGATTATTTCAGAAAGACTCAGTGAAAAGAAAGCAGAGAAGTGGTTTTTCCTGCTCTTGAGTTTCTGCCTGGAGAGAGAAATCTCTGTGCAGACAGGAGAGATGGAGTGAGGTCAAGTACCTGGTTCTTGTCTGCCCTCAGGTCGCTGTCCAGGGACTGCCTTTTCCTGCGGGAACAGCCAGTGTGTGACCAAGCTGAACCCAGAGTGTGATGACACGGCGGACTGCTCCGACGGCTCCGACGAGGCCCACTGTGGTCAGTCTGCCTGTCTGAACTGGCCCACAGGTCACATTCCTTTTCCAGGGTCAGCTGCTGGCTCTGCTCTCTGGCCCACTGTGCCCATCTCATGCAGACATGTGGGTCCGGCATTCACTGGAGCTGGGCAGAGAAAGGGAGGGAGCACGTGTGATATGACAAGAAACATGAGCAGGAAGCAGAGAAGGGAGAGCTTGAGGTGTGTGGGTGAGAAGGGAAGATATCAGGCTGACAAGAGGTCCTGGTCAAACTGTGGGAAGCCTCGAATACCAGGAACTGGAGGTCTGTCCAATACATAGTGGGGAGTCACTAAAAGGACCTGAGCAAGGGAAAATTACAGTTGAAATGTCGTAAGAGTAGTCAACATTTTTCTAACAATGCTAGCCCATGCAACAAGGCAAGAACAGTGGTATAAGTATTGTAAAGGAAGAGGGGAAACTATCAAAATTTGCAATGGATATGATTATCTAAATGAATCAATAAATTGACTGAAAGGAGATTGGAAAAATAAGACAGTTCAACAATGAGGGGGAGAGAAATACTACCACATAAAAAAGTTATTGCTTTTCTTTATATAAGTAATAACAGGTTAGAAGATATAATGGAAAAAATCTCACTGTTGATCAGTGTGCTCAGTCACTCAGTTGTGTTCAATTTTTTGACTCCACGGACTGTAGCCTGCCAGGCTCCTCTGTCCATGGGGTTTCCCAGGCAAGAATACTGGAGTAGGTTGCTGTTTCCTCCTCCAGGGGCTCTTCCTGACCCAGGGATTGAACCTGTGTCTCTCATATCTCCTGCATTGGCAGGAAGATTCTTTCCCACTGTGCCACTGATCAACAGCAGCACAAAATAAACATGCATCATGTCTATATTAACAATTAAATAGAATTAGAAAATGTTGCCATTTTCTAATGGCAGGAGACTAAGTAAACAGAGATATGGCATCCTATGAAAAGATGGACATATAAAGACTTTGAAACTTTCAAAATACATGGTGAGGAACACATTCATAGTGTCTGGTGCCTGGATGTGGAGGATAATACAGAGGTTGATTGAAATTGGCAGGTGTGTTCAGGAGTCCCCGCGACCCCCTCAGACTCAGTGATTCACTGGAAGTACTCATAGGACTTGGTAAAGCTGCTGTATGCATGGTTATAGCTTCTTACAGTGAAAGGATACAGCTGAAAGTCAGCAGAGAAAAAGGTGCAGAGTCCAGGAGAGACAAAGATCAAGCAAGCTTCCATTTAGCCTCTTCCAGTGGAGTCAGGTGGACAGTGCTTAACCAGTTTGCCCAGAAGCATATGTGACATCACACACAATATTTCCAGCCTGGGGGAGCTCACCCAAGCCTTGGTGTCCAGGGTTTTCCGTTAGGGGTTGGTCGCATAGGTAAGTAGCACGTCTATAGCTGAGTTTAGTGTATGATTGTCTTAGATCTGCAAAACAAAGGATCTCAGGCTGAGTGGATGAGACAGCAGAAATTTACTCTCTCCCGACTCTGGAGGCTAGAAGGCTGAGATCAAGGAGTTGGCAGGGTCAGTTCCTTCTGAGGCCGTGAGGGAGAATCTATTCCATGTGGTCTCCCAGAATCCGGTGGTTTGCTGGTTCAGATCTTTGACATCTGAACGTGGAGACCATGGGGATGAGAGGCTGGAGATAGACGTGCCAGGAGTGCAGCTGCAGTCCTGCCTTCTGGGGGTCCTGGTTGGTGATCTCTGTCTTGCAGACTGTGGCTTGCAGCCTGGCTGGAAGACCGCTGGCAGGATTGTGGGTGGTGTGGAAGCGTCCCCAGGGGAGTTCCCTTGGCAAGTCAGCCTCCGTGAAAACAACGAACACTTCTGTGGGGCTGCCATCATCAGTGCCAGGTGGCTGGTGTCTGCTGCCCACTGCTTCAACGAGTGAGTCCACGTCCCTGCGGGCTCAGAGCCCACCCTGCACCTGTGTCCCATCTTCCTTCCGCTCTGGGGACTCCACTACCCTGGGAGTGTCCTTGGAACTCCCTATTTTCTTTCCTTCTCTTTTCTTTTTGTTAAATCTGAATGTATTTTAGTTGTGGCAAAATATACATAACACAAATTTGCCATTTCAAGTGTATAGCTCAGCGGCATTAAGTACATTCACATTGTCTGTCATGTAATCATCCCCACCATCCATTTCCAAAACTTTCTCATCTTCCCAAATTGAAACTCTGTCCCTTTAAACACTAACTTAGGGACTTCCCTGGTGGTCCAGTGGTTAAGACTCCACGCTTCCAAAGCAGGGGGCACTCAGGTTCAATCTCTGGTCAGGGAACTAGGATCCAGCAGGCCAAGTGGCCAAAAAATAAGAACAAACCAAAAACAAAAAATATCCATACTGACTCCCCATCCCCTCCCCCAGTCCCTGGCCCCACCATCTACCTCCTGTCTCTGTGGATCTGACTCCTCTAGGACCCCCTGTGAGTGGGATCAGACAGTGTTTGTTCTTCTGTGTCTGGGTTCTGTCATTGAGCATCACGTCCTCAAGGTTTATCCAGGTTGTAGCAGGGGTCAGTTATTTCCTTTTTATGGTTAAATAACATTCCAGCGTGTTGTTGGACATGTCTGTTCATTTATCCATCAATGGACACTTGGGGTTTTCCTGCCTTTTTGCTGTTGTGAATAATGCTGCTATAAACGTGGGTATGAGAGTATCTGAGTCACTACTTTCAGTTCCTTTGGGTATAAACCCAGAGGCAGGATTGCAAGGTCATATGGTAGTTCTATGTTTACTCCTTTAAGGAGCCGCCATCCTGTTCTCCACAGCGGCTGCACTGTTTTCCATCCCCACTAGCTGTGTGCACAAGGGTTCCAAGTTTTCCAATTCTTGAGAAGTTCCTTTAACATTTGTTGTAAAACCAGGTGACTCTGTGGATGGTCTGGTGGGCTTGCTTGGCCACCGGGCACTGTCTTGTGTGAGTGCTGCAGGCTGCTGTTTAGTGGGTCCTGGTCACGAGCTATCTAGTTGTGGGATCCTAGGGGGCCCAGGGCTAATGCTGACTGCTGACTGGCAGGTGGAATCCGAATCCTGAATACTGAAGTGGGGTTGTTGCCCACCCACTGGCAGGTGAAGCCAGGTCCTGGGGTTGGTGCCAGCCTACTGGCAGAGAGAGATGGCTCCTGGAGTCTGGCTACAGGGCCCAGGGATCCCAGAGCTGGTGTTAGATCATTGTTGGGGGTGGGGCAAGGGGCTGGTTCCATACTCAGTCAGGTATGGGTTCCGGAGTGTCCCGGAGGTTGCACTGGCTTGCTCGTGGGCAGGGCTTGGGCCTCGTCCTAGGGCAGGGTCTGGCGTGCCTTGTGGGTCGTGGTCTCCTTGCGTCTGCTGTCTGCCACCTAAGGGCTTTCCCAGGGGCTCAGTGGTAAAGAATCTGCCTTCAGTGCAGGAGCCACAGGAGATGCGGGTTTGATCCCTGGGTCAGGAAGATCCCCTGGAGGAGGGCATGGCAACCCACTCCAGTATTCTTGCCTGGGACACCGCATGGACAGAGGAGCATGGTGGGCTACAGTGCATGGGGTTGGACACGACTGGAGCAACTTGGCACTCATGGTATCAGCCCCTAGTGGGTGAGGCTGGTCTAGCAGGTTTTCTGTAGGTCTTGGTCCTCTGGTGGGCAGGGCTGTGTCTAGGGGTGGCTATGGGGTTGGGGACAGGGAGGTCTCAAGGCAGCCTGTCTGCTGATGGGTGGGCTGTGTCCCCCCCGCTCGCGTAGCTGCCTGGCTTTGGGTATCCCACCACCTGGCACCTGCAGGCCGTTGGGTGGGGCCAGGTCTTGGGGCAAAGAGCCAAGGTGGCTTCACCAACATCAGTGTTCACGTGGCTGGATGTTCCCCAGTATGCCCCTCACTGGTGTCTATGCCCCCAGGGTGACCCCACAGCTGCCACCCTCACCTCGCCAGGAGACCCTCGGAGTCCAGCAGGCAGGTCTGGCCCAGGCTTCTGTCAATTACAGCTTCTGCCCTGGGTCCCAGTGCACTGGGGTTCTCTGTGAGCCCTTTAAGAATGAAGCTTCCATCTCCCCTGTCCTGTGAGGGCTCCTGCAGTTAGGCTCCACCAGCCTGCAAAGACAGAAGCTCTGGGGACTCCTCTTAAAAAAGTGCTGGACCCCCGGAACCAGGGGGCCTGATGTGGACTCTTGGAGAGGAACCTTTGCAAAGCAGTTGTTCTCCAGCTCCTAGGCCGCCCACCTAGGGACGGGATGTGACTGTTTCGTGAAGCTGCATCTCCTCGTCCCACTGTGTTTCCTTCTGTGCCTTTAGATGTAGGAGCTCTTTCCTGGCAGGTTCCAGTCTTTTCCGTCGATGGCTGTTCTGCAGAGAGTTGTCATTTGGGTGTGCTCCTGAGAGGAGATGAGCTCAGGGTCTCTGCTGTGTCTCAGCTGAACTCCCCTCCACATCCTTGCCATTACTTGTTACTTTGTCTGCTTGTTTTGTTTTTTATTAGTTTATGTTTTTTGGCCACTTGGCATGCAGGATCTTAGTTCCCCAACCAGGGACCGAACCCATGTCCCCTGCTTTGTGCAGAGTCCTAACCACTGGACCACAAGGGAAGTCCCTGTTTGTTTAATAATGGCCATCCTCGTGGCTGTGAAGTGCTGTCTTATTGTGGTTTTTTTTAAATTCAGTTCAGTTCAGTCACTCAGTTGTGTCCGACTCTTTGTGACTCCATGAACCGCAGCACGCCGGGCCTCCCTGTCCATCACCAACTCCTGGAGTCTACTCAAACCCATGTCCATTGAGTTGGTGATGCCATCCAACCATCTCATCCTCTGTCATTCCCTTCTCCTCCTGCCCTCAATCCCTCCCAGCATCAGGGTCTTTCCCAATGAGTCAGCTCTTCACAGCAGGTGGCCAAAGTATTGGAGTTTCAGCTTCAACATCAGTCCTTCCAATGAAAATATTAATTTTTTAAATTAATTTGTTTTAAATTGGAAGATAATTGCTTTACACTATTGTGTTGGTTTCTGCCATACATCAGCATGAATCAGCCACAGGCATACTTATATCCCCTCCTTCTTGAAGCTTCCTCTCACCCCTCACTGGGGTTTTGATGTGCGTTTCCCTAATGATCAGTGATGCTGAGCATCTTTTCATGTGCTTATCAGCCATTTGTGTATCTTCTTTGGAGTAATGTCTGTTGTGGTTCTTGGCCCAGTTTTGAATTGGGTCGTTTCTGGTTGTTGAAGATGGTCAGAATCTTTAACAACCCGAGCGGCCAGTCAGAACGGAGCTGGCCAAAGGTAGGAGAAGGTTCTGGAAGGCTCTGGCTGTGCCAGCCATCGCTACTTGTTTCCATCCGCGGAGTCCTTGGGGAGAGGGCAGGGCAACAGGCAACATGGACTTTCCTGGGAAACCACTGCCTGAGAATTGCCCCGGGGTAGGGGGTCGCTAATTCCCAGGGTAGCCTGGTTCCCGTCCCGGGAAGACTAGGGGAAACAGGTCACGTAAGCAATGACATTCGGGGCAAGAAGAGTTGTTTTCTTTTTATTGTTTTAAATTTCGTTCCTCTCAGCATTTTATTATGAAAATATTTCAATAGAAAAGATGGACAAATAGTACCACAAGTACCCATGTGCCTGGACAGTAAGTCCCCTGCATACACGTAAGCTCCATTCTGAGAGCGCGTTCGTTAGTCCAGTGAGTAAGTCCAACAGAGTCAGCCTAGGCACCCAGCTAATACAGTCGGTTATGTGCTCCTGTACTCTAATAGGTTTATAGGTCAATTCACACAAATAATACATAAAAAGCAAACACAAAGCATAAAGAAAACATTTTTAATCTTACAGTACAGTCCCTTGAAAAGTACAACAACTGGCATACAGGGGCACGTTCACACCTTTGAAAGTTCCCAGCTTGAAGATTTGTATGTAGGGTATCTACTGTACCTGATTTCAAAAGTTGTTACTATTTCACCATATTCCCTTTTTCTCTCACTCTCTCCATCTGGCTGTATCTATAATACCCCCCACACTGCTTCATACATATATATGCTTGCCAAACAGTTTGAAATTAAGTAGAAAACATCATGATGCATCACCTCTGAGGCACCCTAGCACATCTGCACAACTGAAGCACAGTCTCAAATACACATATACCATCATACCTGAGAAAATTTAAATGGCTACACAGTATCATCTGGTGCCCTGTCCATGTTCAGTGCCTCACTCTCCTCACCCTAATCCCGGCCCTGTGGATCCTGTCTTTGTTTATTTATTTATTTTTTTTTTTCATTTATTTTTATTAGTTGGAGGCTAATTACTTTACATCATTGCAGTGGTTTTTGTCATACATTGAGATGAATTAGCCATGGATTTACATGTATTCCCCATCCTGGTCCCCCCTCCCACCTCCCTCTCCACCCGATCCCTCTGGGTCTTCCCAGTGTACCCGGCCCGAGCACTTGTCTCATGCACCCAACCTGGGCTGGTGATCTGTTTCACCCTAGATAATATACGTGTTTCGATGCTGTTCTCTTGAAACATCCCACCCTCGCCTTCTCCCAGAGTCCACAAGTCTGTTCTATACATCGGAGTCTCTTTTTCTGTTTTGCATATAGGGTTATCGTTACCATCTTTCTAAATTCCATATGTATGTGTTAGTATACTGTAATGGTCTTTATCTTTCTGGCTTACTTCGCTCTGTATAATGGGCTCCAGTTTCGTCCATCTCATTAGAACTAATTCAAATGAATTCTTTTTAATGGCTGAGTAATATTCCATGGTGTATATGTACCACAGCTTCCTCATCCATTCGTCTGCTGATGGGCATCTAGGTTGCTTCCATGTCCTGGCTATTATAAACAGTGCTGCGATGAACATTGGGGTGCACGTGTCTCTTTCAGATCTGGTTTCCTCGGTGTGTATGCCCAGAAGTGGGATTGC